CTAGTGCCATAAATAACTATAACCTTGTTTTTGAAATTGGTGAAATATGATAAAATTAACTACGTTGAATCGAGATTTATAATAAAATTTTACAACTTCACCTTGAGCTAGAATCATGACAGTTTGAAAATCGTTACAACAAACCACGAGATCTTCCACCTCTTTGTCCGATTGCTTACTTTCTCTAGACAATTTAACTACTTCTTGATGAGTTTAATGTCCTAAAATTATATCTTCCTGTTCCCTTGCACTATTATTAAAAGATTCAGATGTAGAGCATTGGTCCTTCATTGGTTTATGGAATCCTATATTGAATTTTCTATTGAAAATTCTTTCATAGACTGATTTTTTGATCTCTCTCTTCAATCCTGACCCCCCAGGGGGCGTGTAGTGGTCGACGTGATGTGTATTGTCCGTCTCCAGAGATCTCTGTCTCTGGTCATTTCTTTTAATTCATGCATAGGTCTTTGGCATATTCCTGTAATTTGATCTATCCATCTTGTTGGGGATCTTCCTCGTGATCTTCGGCCTTCTACCTTTCCTTGTATTATGAGTCTTTCCATGTTTTCTGTGTTTGCTCTCATAACATGCCCAAAATATTTTAATTGTTGGAGATGGACTTTACTAGAGAGTCGTTGGCTAACTTTTAGCTCTCTTAAAATTGAATTATTTGTTCTACGGTCGGTCCAAGGAATTCGTAACATTCGTCTGCAACAGAACATTTCAGTGGCGTCTATCTTTCTTCTCTCCGATTGTCTCAGAGTCCAAGATTCACATCCGTAGGTCAGTATTGGGAATATTAAGCAGTTGATCAACCTCATCTTTATCGCTCTTGAAATTTGACAGTCCTTCCATATTTTGGTCATTTTTGCTGTGGCAACTTTTGCTAGATCACATCTACGTTTAAGCTCTTCTTGTAATGACCCTGTGTTTGTGATTAATGACCCCAGATATAAGTATGAGCTCACAACCTCGAACCGGTCAATTGTGGTTATGTGTGGATGATTGTTGTGTAGTCTATCCACTATCATGATCTTTGTCTTTGATATGTTTAATTGCAGACCAAATATTTGACGTTCGTTTTCGATCAGTCGTATAAGTTCCATCGGCTCTACTTGACTATTTGCAAGAAGGGCTGTGTCATTTGCGAAACGTAGGTTGTTTAGTTTATGACCATTTATTGATGCCCTTTTCCCATCCTTCAAGTGCTCTTCGCATAATATACTCCCAATATATGTTGAATAATTGTGGAGATAGTATACATCCTTGTCTGACACCCCGTTCTGGATGAAACTCGTTCGAAAGTGTGTCAAGTACTTTATACTTTTTATACTACGATTTTTTGATATAATCTTGTTTTTCTTCAAATGCATTTTTCTTTGTACAGCCTATACATAATTGCTAAATTCAGTGACCGTTCCAGGTATTCTTTTTGTGTTCTCGCTGTATAGTAATGTGACTCGATGGGAGAGAACGAATTTATGTGATGCATAATATATTCAATTTTTCGTTCTTCAGTTTTGTTTATATGGTTATCGTGTTTCCCCCTTCTTTCTCCTACCACGCATCCAGTTTTGGTTGTTTTAGCAACAATTGTTGTCCCAGCATTGTTTTCGACTCCCTATAATCTTCATTTATTTTTTCTGGACATTTATATTGACAGTTATCGCTTGGCGGTTTTAGTTTTTTGGCTTCGTACATCCTGTACAGTCTTGACAAATCACTGTGCCCTGTTGCAATCTTATGTTTCTTTACATTTTTCTTCAACTTCTCTGAATGAATTGTTCTTTATCTAGAGGTTTTTTCGTGTAGACTAGGATCTATCATTTGTACTCCACACATCTCATTGAGCTCATCGGTGTAGCTCAAATCATTAGCTTGGGTGGAAGGTGCCTTCAATTCATCGAATGTATGTTTTAGTACAGAATAAATCTTACTTGATCTTTCATCAGGTAAATTGTAATCAGGATCTTCATCTGTATCATCCACATCTGAGTTACTTGGATTAAAACCATAAAAGTACTAGGCTGTCTTCTGCAGTATATTCCGCTGTGGATTGGCTAGCTGTTCCAGCAAGGCCGAACTCTTCTTTTTCTACATCACCTGAAAACCAAAATTATTATATCTGTTTAAAATTTTTGCTTACCTATTTCTAAATTCGGTCACCATACTTAGCCATCGAGCAAATAATTCATAAACACGCTACTTTTGCAGTGGCGGCTGGTGTTGTAAAATTTTGGGTAGGCCAAGCCAGCAAATTACATATATAGCTATGTGTAATCCGTGGCGGATCCAGAGGGAGGGATCATGGGGTCATGACCCCACCCCCTTGGTGGTATTGGTGGTAAGATTAAAAGTGACCTTGCATCAGAGAAAAGTAATCACCCTCAAGATCCATGATCTCCCCAAACAATTTCTGTAGTCGCCATTGTGTGTAATACATATTTTTTTTGTGTGAGAGTGGGAATCTTCTAAAGACCGTACCAGATGAATCGTACCTGGCGTGTGTTGGATTCAGAGTAAACGGAGTACATCTGAACGTAGTTCCCCGTGCATCCGTATTTTTTTCGAATTTTACGAATTGTTTAAAATTGATTTGGGCAATCGTGCACTTGTTTGCAATTGTGTTGTTTGTTTAAAAATATGTTATAATTATAGATTACGTTACATATGTTTTTTATTATAATTTAAAAGAAAATTGATATTACAATTCGATAATTACGTTACAAGTGACAACGATGGTCGGCGTAGGCCCGATCGTCTGTGGCCTAAACAGCAAGCATAAACACGACAATATAAATCGTTTTCCGGCAAACTGTTTAACTTCAAACGCTTTTTGTACGGGGATCTTATGTGAGCTGGGTCGGCCAGTTCCGATCGGGCCTATTAATGATATTTAAAATGCCTGAATACGATTCGATGCTTTCTGTGGTAATATAATAACAAAGTTGTTTTAACGGACGCTAATGTATTGAGTGATATAGTACATTTAAAAGTTATTTACATGCATTAACATAATTTTTGAATATATGTTTTTCAATTTTAAAGCTCTTAAAATTATTGGGCAGGCCCGACCTAACCTGCCTATCCCCAAAAGCCGCCACTGATTGGTTATTCATAGGATAAACATTATTAATGATTATCACGTACCTTTTGATTCATTTTTGTTATCCTCCCACAGGGTTTCTTCAAATTTTCCTCTTGCAGGGCAAACTTTTATGTAGTTATATATGTATCCGTGTTACCAGTATAGAGTGTAAGCAATTCTATGCAAATTGTTGCTTTGAGGTGTCGATATATTGATAGCAGATAACAACAGGTAGTAACTGACCCTAGAATGTTACAAGATGTGCTTATTGACTCCAGCCAAATCCTAGTAATAAAAAATGGTGAAATTTAAAGACAATAAAAAAGAAAGAATATGCAGAGGAAATGAAATTGCTTTAATATTTTAATATAGAATCCACAACGAACGATATACGTACGCAACATAAATACCAGGCATAACGTTAAAAAAATAGCGAGGTTCTTTGCTTTCAAATATGGTACCAGATGTATGAGTAGTATAAACAAATTAAGTTGCAAATTAATCAGGTTCCGTATCAAGAATTACGTCTTTATAATAAGAATTTTTAGTTATAGTCATTTAAAATTTTCAGAGATATAAAAATGTTTCCTTAAGTTGTTTGTGCAGTATTTTATTTGTAAAATATCATGATAAAATTTTTATTATAGTTATTGAAATTAAATATTTTTAGTACATATGCGCTTTATTTTATGTAATTACAAAGTAAAACTATAATCAATCATTGTTCATTATGCGAAGGTGCAATTTTGAATATTTTTCAACATGGGAAATTTGTTTGAGATTATTGCAAAAATAATAGAATATCCTGGAATAAAATGAAATATTTGAAGGGATAATGAAAAGAAATATGAAAATTAAAGGACTAAATAATAACAATATGACAGAAACACTGAAAATAAATTTAAACTAAGTAATAGGAGTTATAAAAGCGAGGAAGACGACAAAATCTCACCAACAAATGAAGAATATTAAATAAATACAGAAGAATTTAGAGAAGTTTTAGTGAATACTAAAATTTTAAAAGCAGGTGGAGCGACTCACATGGCACCAGAAATGGTGAAATACATAAGAAAAGCATGGTTGCTCAAAAATGAGTCTCTATAGAAACGGCACTGTACCATCTCTTACAAAGGATGCAGTACGTTCTGAAAACCAAGACGTGATGTTGGGTGCCTTTCTCGATATGGAAAGAGCATTGGATGATACCTCCTACGAAACAATCACAAGGAGGATTCGTCTAGAAGAAATAGACGAAAAAAGCTAAATATGGATACACAGCATGCTGAGGAGCCGTCTGATATACACAACGTTACTGGAGGATACAGTGTCATCACAAACATGTGTGAGTTTTATCTTCTCTCTTATAGAATCGGGTCATTGATGTTTTGATACATAGACTCCGCAACGACAGCCATTATGGTCTGGGCTATGCGGAAGACCTCTTTATTTTATAATTCTGGCTTAAGAACCGGCGTGGGTCCTAGCCTCCTCAAGAATTTCTCTCCAGTTGTCCCTATCCATTACCTTACTCTACCAAGCACATATTCTTATATTTCTCATGTCTATCGATTACGCCTTTTTTATGCGTAAACAATTTTGGCATATAAGCAATCAACTAAAAAATATTTATTCAATAAATATTTCTTTATAAATTTATATACATGTACGTATGACGTGTAATATTTATATACATCTTTTTAAATTGGTCTACAAAAAACATGGCGGCTGATGAAAAGTCTTTTTGAAGCATACAAAATATACATTATAAGAACATGGCAACACTGCCAAACCCAAAATTGTTTCATGGTTGACATTTGCGCGACTATCGGCTATCTTCAGCTTATATTTTCCTCAACCTTCATGTCGAATGGACAGCAGGAGTCTGACGTCACATCTGTCATAACTTTCCATACAAAAGTTGAAATGTCAAATCTCAAGAGTTTTTAATTTCTAAAGTTAACATTTTGCTTCCTCTGCTACTTTTTCTTCTAAGTATAAGGTTTTTTACGATAATACCATCACAATTCAGTGTTCTATTTCTATGAAATATAGTTTAAAAGTATACATTAAAGAAAGTCTAAACTTACTTTAAGATGTCAATCAAATCTACGTCATCACTCCGGCGGTCCATTTTACTTTTTGGATATGTGTAAACACAAAACTGCAATTGTTTATTAATTAAATCAAATTTAATAATATGGAAATAAAACAAGAAGTTAGTGAGAAAACTTGTAAAATTGAAATAGATAATGACACGTGTGTTGGTCCTTTGGATGCCTTCAAAATTGAAATTAAGGAAGAACCCAAGATAGAAACTGCTTACCAAGCATTTGATTGTTTAGACTTAAATGAATTGACTGTAAAAACTGAAGTAGAAAGTGAAGATAAACTTATACCATTTAAAGAAAAGCAAACAACAAATGAAGAAAGTAAGTAAATATCACTGATTAATAAAATAACATGGTAACAAATTAATGTAGGTTAGTGAAGTTTATTTTTAAATTAAAGGTTAATATATTATAAAGGATATTTTATTATACGTAAGAATAACTTATACAGGGTATCACAAAAAGAATAGAAATAGATTAGGTATACCATGATTTTTAGAGATGAAAATAAGTCGATTTGGCCTTTACCTACATCCAAAAGTCCACCCAGAAAAAGTTACAAGGTACTACCACCATTCTAAATACTTTTGTCACAGTGCTTTATGACCTAGTCTGCTAGTTAGAGAACCTTAATTTCTTAACAACTCTGTTATGGGGGGGGGGGGGGAATGGTATTCTCCTGAAGTCTCTTTTTATCCTCGGGTGTTGCTGATTTGCTTTTCTTGGGATTTTCTGTGGTCCATGTCCCAGCAGCCATTTTTGCTTTTTTTTTCATCTTCCTTTGTTTAGCTGATATCACAGCATAAGTTATTAAAACTTATGCTGTGATATCAAGCCGATGGTACCTAAAACAAAAAAATTTTTACTGTTACTATACATATAAAAAAAAATATTTGACTAAATATGATTTAATGAAAGAACAGGAATTTCTGTTTCTATAAATGAGGCTATTTATATGATTTATATATTTTAAAGATCCTAATAAAGGTACAGGGGATGTTTTTGGTTACCCTTGTGACATTTGCAAAAATGTTTGATGCAAAAACTGCACTGGAATTAGCTTGACAGAGATAAGGTATCTACTTCTGATCACCCGAATTATGCCATATTTGTGTTGTGACTGTGTGCCAGGAATCAAAAAGGCAGTTACACTAAACAACCATGTGAAAGCATTAGAAGATACACTAAGTGAAATCAAAATTGCAAACTGTCAAAACATGGAGGAGTTTGAAAAACAGATTCTTGAGGTAAATGATGAAGTCAAGAGTTTGAAAACCAGTTTTACTACCTCATTTGAAGACATTAATAAGGATTTTACCTTCATAAAAAATACCACCTCTACATCAAATACAAAAAACGACAATAATTACAGTTCCACATTGGTACATGGTAGTGTTTTGTATGAAGTGTCTAAGAGACAAAAGAGATCTTGCAATCTTACGATCTTTAATATGCCTCAAGATCGTGAGGAAGATGACACCTCTAAAGCTAAGGAAATGTTATCAGACTTAGCTGGTTCTGATATAAAACTAGTCAGTTCAACTTGAATTGGTAAATGAAATAAAAATGGGTATCAATCACTGTGATTAATTCTAGAGTCACCTGAAATGGTTCAGTTGATATTGAGAAACAAGAGGGAGTTAGATAGACGTTTAAAAGTATTCCTGGACGCTGATTTAACTACTGAATAACGAGCTGAGGTCAATGCACTGAAAATGAATTAAAAGAAAGACAGCGTAAGGGTAAATCCAATCTCATTTTAAAATATGTTAATGGTGTGCCAAAGTTAATACTAAAAAACTAAACATATCTACCAGATGCAAAGCCCCCTCAGTCGAGACTTCAAAAGCACTGGTGTATTTTTAGAATGTCAGAGGGTTAAGTACAAAACTTCAGCTACTGTTTGAAAATACTTCTTACTCACAATATGATATTTTAGTTTTTAATGAAACATGGTTAACAGATGACATAAAGAGTGCCGAACTGCAAATGTTTGACTACAACATATATAGAAGAGATCTCTCTCTTCAATCCTGACCCCCCAGGGGGAGTGTAGTGGTCGACGTGATGTGTATTGTCCGTCTCCAGAGATCTCTGTCTCTGGTCATTTCTTTTAATTCATGCATAGGTCTTTGGCATATTCCTGTAATTTGATCTATCCATCTTGTTGGGGATATTCCTCGTGATCTTCGGCCTTCTACCTTTCCTTGTATTATGAGTCTTTCCATGTTTTCTGTGTTTGCTCTCATAACATGCCCAAAATATTTTAATTGTTGGAGATGGACTTTACTAGAGAGTCGTTGGCTAACTTTTAGCTCTCTTAAAATTGAATTATTTGTTCTATGGTTGGTCCAAGGAATTCGTAACATTCGTCTCCAGCAGAACATTTCAGTGGCACTTATCTTTATTTTCTCCGATTGTCTCAGAGTCCAAGATTCACATCTGTAGGTCAGTATTGGGAATATTAAGCAGTTGATCAACCTTATCTTTATTGCTCTTGAAATTTGACAGTCCTTCCATATTTGGTCATTTTTGCTGTGGCAACTTTTGCTAGATCACATCTACGTTTAATCTCTATAGAAGAGATAGATCCTCAGAAAAAAGTACCTTCAAAAGACGTGGAGGAGTGCTTATAGTTGTTTAGAAAACCATAACCAATTTTCATTTGTCAGCGACTCAAAATATCAAACATCTATTTGTCAAGATTGAGATTGGCCACATTGACAAGTTTATCTTTGCAACTGTCTATTTTCTACCACATAGTATTATTGAGAAGTACTTATGTGGAATTTGCAGAAAATGTAGATAATCTAGCTGAAAAGTATCCAGAATATAAGTTATGTATCCTGGGAGATTTTAACCTCCCCAATTGTCAGTGGTCCATTGATGGATTGTCTTCTGTGGCTACTCCATTACCAGGAACCTCACCAAATGAAGTTGATTCCATTCAATTCCTCTCATTTTTATGTTCCTTTCATAATCTGTATCAAGTAAACAATGTTAAAAATGAAAACAACTCCGTATTAGATCTAGTCATGGTCCAAGATGAAGAGGTGGAGGTATCTAGGGCTGAGAGTGCCCTACTCCCAGAGGATAGGCATCATCTTCCACTCTCATTTGGGTTTAAATGTGAATCTCAATATTTCAATGAGCCAGAATTGATTGGAAATGGCTTTTATAGAGATTTTCTCTCAGTGAGTGTACAGGAAGTAACAAACTTTCTTTTACAATTTAACTGGGATGATTTGTTTAAAGATAAAAGTCTTGATGATATGATCACCATGTTTTATGATGTTATTTACCTCACAATTGATGTTTTTGTTTCCCTGAATTGGCACTATCATTTTAAAGTCGTCTACTTTAAAATGCATAATGTATGTCTGAATTGTCAATATAAATGAGTCAGATAAAATTAAATTACTAGAAGAATTTTTCACTATGTAACAAAAAACAAAATTTGTTTAATTTACTATTTGTACTTTGAGAATGATTTCCAAAGTGGAAATTGAAACGTCAATAAACATATTTTTATCTTTAATTGTGGCTTATTCCCAGTTAAATAGTAATTAATAACTATTTTAATGACATTGCCTCCTGTTTTTCTCTTTGCTTCTTTCCTAATGTTTGCTTACGATTTAAAATTATATTTGAAAATTGAGAATGATGGTGATTATCAAAAACTACAGTCTGATTTGATCCGTTGAGCTATTGGTGTGACAGCAACGGAATGGAACTTAATGTTAAAAAGTGTCATTTAATAGTTTTTGGTCGGAATAAAACTCCTACAAATCATATCTATACCATCAATGGTTGCTGTTCAATCACAAATTAATCCCTTAATTTGTAATCTCACATTATTCTTAACGTCTTAATATTTTATGGTTTCACAGTGTATAATTGAGCCATTGTAAAACTATATCGAGTAATATTTTAATAATTGAAGTCCATTCAACTGTTAATAAATTGTCGAATAATACATTTTTCTAATTGAACTTTCTAATTGTTGTAATTACGGCCTAGATTAAATTGTATTGTAAGCTCATAGTTCAAAGTTTGTTAGTATGATAGAAGCATTAACCTCTGTGCTGATGTATACATTATTTGTGAGATTATAAATTGGGGATTTGAGCTCATTTGAGTTGCAGTTTATTATAGATAGTTACCTAAACAACATCATATAGTGTAATTAGTAATAGCTGTCAATAAAACCAACATTTTACTCCACAACTTCAACGTTTTATTGTATTAATCATTGTCGATCGAGAAGAAACGGAAAAAGGGGCATTATAAAACGATTCGATCGTTATAACTACGTTCGAATCTGTCCAGTTGCCCTTTAGACTCTGTATCTCAGATAAAAGACCTAGGTGATGTGCTCGATTCCAGCTTATCCTACATTCCTCATATCTCATCTGTTGTCTCAAAATCACTTCAACTTTTAGGGTTGTAACATTTTTTGTTTGAGTCCACTTAATATATTTATTATTTGTTTATGTAGGGTGTTGACCAAATTTATTTAATTATTAACTGTTAATATCTTTTCTTGGGTTTGATCTCTGAGTCTAAATATCTTTCCTTATCTCTTTTTATTTATTAATATCCTTAGTTTATATCTTAAACTAAGGTTTCTTAGTTTTCTCCTTAAACCCAAAAAAATTGAGTGGCGCCCTGTTTTTATCTTATCGTATCTTTGGTAATTTTACCCATCTATCTTTTTGTTTATTTCTGTATCTTTTCTAATATATCTTATCCTGTTATATCTTTACTTATTTCGTCCGTTGGACCCGTTTCGGGTTCCAAAAGCTAGTTTCGAACCCACGACTCGCTTTCCACCAACCATCTGGCTGCCGTCCGCAGTGTCTCCATTGGTGACCTTTCTAGTACCATCTAAAAAAAGGTTTCCGGGGTTACAGGGTTTATCAAACGTTGTGCTAAAGACTTTCTAAATATCCCATCCATAAAAATTTTGTATTATTCACTTGTGAGACCCCACCTAGATTACTGTTCATGTGTTTGGTCTCCTCACTATGACACCCATATTCAAGCTATTGAGACACAAATTCTTAAGATTTGTTGCATTTAAATAAAACCAGAGGATTGAAGAAATTAACTATTCAAATATGGAAAGGTCCCTCAACATAACTTCTCTCCAAATCCGACGCATGCACAAGGATCTCACTATGTTTTATAGTATACTGCACTCTATTATTGTATGAATTATTATACATATAATTGTTATTCCAAAACTTTAATTGAAAAGATAAAACGTTATAAAGTATAAAAACTGAATTTACAATATGCACTGAAAATGAATACAAGTC